TTAGTGTGAGCTTTCATGTGTTTTTGAATAGGCTTTAGACTGCTTAACGTTCGCTGTAGCTATAGGTGCCGGAAGCTCAATATCCTCTATTGTCTTTGTATTTTTCTCCCCTGGTGTATTTGCATATCCCTAGAAACTCATTCTTTTTTTTCTTCAAATGTTTTCTGCCTTTATTTTACCTCTGCCTTTATTTTACCTCTGCTTTTGTCAAAGAGGAAAGCTAAAGAGGGCTAGAGTTATCTAACTGCTCTTTTCCCAATCAGATAAGGCTTTGACAAATTAGTTTTCTTTGAGGGGTAGCTGAAGTTATGGAGACCAGAATGCATTGTATGTATATCAAAATATATTCCCATTTCCTGCATAAAGTAGGAGGTGATTTTTCCCAGTCTTTATGGTGAGAACCTGATTTGGCTCCTGCAAAAAGAATTCTTTCAACAGTGGGGGTTTTCCAGACCTTTTAATTCTCAAGCTACTCTGCACTGTGTCTCTAGCAATTCATTTATTACAGTTTATGTTCCTACAGATTACTGGCTTGAGTGGCTTCTGCTTCTGGTTTATTACTCAAAAGCACTCTTCAGGAGAGTACAGCAAGTGAAAACAGGTACAAATGACTGGAACAAAGGAATGAGACTGTGTTGACCTTTAATGTGTGAAGGCATTGAGGCTGAGGGTTTTTAAGGTTTGACCCTACTATCCATTGGTACAAAAAGAAAAGGGGCATATGTGAATCTTCTTAACTCAATTGCCTGTTGTGGGCCAGAATGAGTGAGTATCTAAAGCCAATTAATAGTCGAACATCAAAAATGGAGTATCTTTATTAAAGTTTACTCCTGATGATTGACTGAATTCTGCTACATCTTATTTACATGAATTTAATTTCGAATATGAATTTTAAAAGCCATGTGAAAAGCACAAGCCACAGTTGAGGAAGCCTTATAAGTATCAGTGGGAAAAGTATCAGTGGGATTCCAGAGTTGTTCAATTACTTTAGTAATGTTACTGGTTTTCATCTGTGATCTTATTTGTTACGTTACAGGTGGCACCTTGCCAGTGTAGCTTATCCACATTCAGCAAGGGAACAGAATTTTAAGGGAACAGAATTTTCTCTAGCTGCGAAAAGTCCAACGCTAAGCGGTCCATCATTTACCATGGCTGCAGGAAATTTCTCTTCATGGACAGCCTCTAAAATATTAGCTGTCTGCTGCATGTTTAGAATGTTTTAGGCATTTCTTGGTTGAGATCAATGATGTTTGTTGGATGGCAACACGTGTCAGTACCAGTGACTCCCACGACAGTAGTCGTATGAGTGCAATTGGTAGGAAAGCAGTACATTTGTGTTGAGATGGGCCAGAGGGTGTTTTGAAAGCGTGTCCAAAATGAAATATTGACACCTAGAGTGTAGAATATAGGTGATGTTAGGAGGAAGGTCCAGGAGTGGGATAAAAGGGTATGCTACTGGGTACTATCAAACAAAAAGTCTGTGATAATGACCATTCTGACAGAAATATCTGGTATAAAAAGGCCTCTACTTAAGATGATTATCAGGCTTACTGGCAATTGGTCCATACATGCAAGCTGGTGGGTGTCTAGTGCCTCAGAGAGCATAAGGCTTATTTTAGAAATTAGCATGGTTTATCTTAGGAAGCCATTCTGGCTTTGTAAGGGCTGAAGCCTGGGGTCATAAGAGGCCAAAGTCCCACTGAATGCCTTTTTTTAAGAACCTACTATTGTTTGAAAAACGAATTGATCACATGGACGTCTAGAATGTCTTGGTGAGTCCTCACATTTTGGCCTCATTGGTGGCAAGTCTGATAGGATAATGTGTCTATATAAGCATATACCATGGTTAGAGCACAGCAAGTAGTCATGCAGAGTGGGTAAGGGGCCCTATAAAGTCTATTTTCCACCAGCTGTTGGGACCCCTTCCTCAGCCTGGGAATTATGTCCATCGATTTTACCAATGACATTTCCCTGCCCCCATCAGGTGCATGGGTCAGTCACTGTTAGCCACAGCAAAGGGGGCAAGTCCCTGACATTCTGCCTAGAGCTTCAGGTAGAGGTCTCTAAATGATTTCATATTTCGTAGGCTCACAGACCAAAGTTTAGACCCTCAGGTCTGAGGTACTGGTATTCGTCTCAGAAATTTGACTGTCACCCTGAGCATTGAAATGAGCATCTTGTTTGAGGTTTAATATGCAGAGTTAGGAGTCACCTTGAACAGGTAATTCTGAAGGGCGACCTTGGATAAGGAGTCCTTGTTGCTATTGGTGGGCCCAGACAGCAAGATCATTGGCAATGGCCAAAGGATCTGTAAAAAGTGCAGGGGAGTTTGGCTCTTGGCCAGGGCATCTTTTAGTGCTGGCATGCCCTCCAGAATGACTGAGCTGATGCTGGGGTGCAGTCTTTGATCAGGATAGCCTGTTTGGGGACAGAATGCAGCACCTCTCCATTGGGCTCCATCAGGTCTGGTGGCACATGGCCCTATAAAATATATGAACTCTCCTGGTCATTCACGTGACCCCAAAGAACTCCCCAGATGGCTGAGTCTAGAAAAAGGGGGACTTCCTCCAGAACTGCATCCTTCTGAGGACAGGGGAACACACTTCTTTCTGTAGGGTGGATAAGCTAGAGGTCCCATTTTCTGCTCTATCAGTGAGGAGCCCTCTGTGAAGTAAGCTTGAGGGGTACAAACTTGATGATGACTCAAGGGGAAATGAAAGGCTGCCTACACTTGCAGTATTCTCAGTTTACAATTTTGACAGTGCTCAGTTAATTCAGGTGGCACACAATAGGCTTTCAAGAGATTCCAGTACTGTGCACTCTATGAGTTTGGGTAAGAACTTGTTCTGTGCTGAACTTTCTCATTTGCAAAATAGAAGGAACTGACTGGCAGGGACATCAAAGGAGAGACTAATAATTATGAAATGACAATCTCTACAGTGCAAACACAAGTTGGCATTAAAAGATGAAGAATTGGCTTTCCTTTGCTCTTTAATAAAACTCAAAGCTGTTACTTTTGTGTTCTAGTCCATAACATGCACTAGAAGTCTGAACATATGGAAATGATACCTGTGAATGTTAGATGGGCTATGGGGCTTTGTGGGTCAATGAAACAAAAAGTTTCCAACTACTCCTTACAGAAAGGCATTAAAAATTCCCCATATCTCCTTTTACGTTGGGATATTACTCAAAATGATACCCTCTCTCTGCCACTCACCTAAATTATTCTTTGATTGTCTTCTAAACATCCATAGCTCTTTTTAATGTTTCCACCAGGAAATGAGAGCAGACTTGCATAAATCTCACTCTATTCACAGAATAAATTCAGGATGAATCAGAACAATGCAGATAAACATAACCTTTTCTCCACTTGGGAGGAACTCCAGGGTTTAACGATGTACGTGTTGTGTCAGTTGGTATAGGAACAAAATGAAAATGCCAAATGCTATAAAACTTTAAAATAGCTAAAGGTGAATTAAAATTCTCTTAAATGCTATCAAACATAAAAAGACACAAATGGAAGCCTCAAGTCCCAGATACCCATGTCTAAACTCATGATAACACATTACACATAGAAAACTGCAAAGAACAAAGATGAACCATATCTGTAACTTTATCTTTAAGGAGAATCTTTCCTGTTAATCACAGGAATGCAAGGCTTTCCACACTGCTGTCCTCTATTTACTTCCATACAAAAGCAGTTCCTGAAACGTTTAAGGTGTAGATGTGGAAATTCAAGTGACTGGCAATGGCACTGTCACTGAGGCTCCTACCTTTACAGAAAAATTATATACAACACTTCCACCTAATATCTCATGTCGTTTACTTTTTTACATCTCATCAAAGCCCTTATATCCATCTTATAAACCAAAGTTTTACCATTTGTTAACCATCTCTTTTTCCCACCAAAGAATGAGCGCCAAGACTGCAATAACTTAGGTCATGCTTCTATAAGCAAGCCCTACAGTGCCTTGCTTAACTGTGCAAAATTGAGTATGTTTTGGATCTAGTGTCTGGAAAATGAGACATGTTAAAAAATTAGCATCAAGAGTATAATCTCTGAACAAGAAAAGCTTCATTGGAAGAGTAGTCCTGTCTTTCTCCCTTGCTACGTGTGTATTTTCTTTCAACTTACTTAAGCATACAGGCCTCAGTTGAGTCATAAAGGAGATATTAAACGTTTTATGTACTTTACTAAGAAGTGAATTTGTATATTTTCACTGAAGTACATCTATCCAAACACCAAAGGAAATGTATCAGTATATTTAGATAATTAGTAGGAAAAACAAAACCTGTTCCAGTGGACTGAGGGGCTGGCTTTGCATTCTCTTATTGTGTTGATGAGAAAAATGTCAAACACTTCCACCATCAGACAAAGGTATTCAGTGATCATGATGGATCAAGACAAAAATAAAGGTATTTTGTAACCATATCTTTAAAATTGGTAAGAAACAATTCCAAATCATAAAAATGACCAAAATTCTACCCTTAATGATATGACCTTCTGAAGCTTCTTACGAATTAAGTTTAGCTCTACTACACTGATTTGCTTTCTAGAAAACAACAGTTATGATAACCAATGATACAATTCAGTTCACTTTCTCAAAGCATACATCTAGAAACATCTTGCTTCCTTGAATAGCAATTGAATCACTTGTAAAAGCCCAAATTATGCCATTTTGAGTACCCTCTTTACTGGCCAATCTTAGTCATTTAGGGTTTGCAGTCTTTCTTTTTTCTTTTTATTTTTTCCCCCTCCTCTCTGTTGTAGTCATTCTTAATACTACAATATACACCACTCTTGTTGACTGCTGGTGAGATTTTGGTGGGTTTTGACGACAGCGCTGACAAAACGAATGAATGAGAAATTAGTTTCAAAACAAAAACTACATAATTTTGAAAATACAATTTACCTGATAAAAATAACTAAATGTGTATACACATGGTAATATTAAGTACGTATAACCATTTTGATAGAATTATAAATTGGTCTAAAAATCCAGAGTTATAATAGGATATTTTAATGTATGTGCTCAGGAAATGAAAGTCACAATAACTGTTACATACAAATTATATAAAACAGTTAATATTTCTAAGCTACAGAAAATTTTGTTTGACAAAAATACATTGTTTTTAATCACAAACACACAATTGAAAATGTGCGGCAGAATTATGTACAGCTGTGAGCAATGGGAAACATCCATAATCTGCTTGATGAGAAAGGTGCTTATTCTCACACAGACGGAGTGGGTTAGAGAAATCATTACACAGTGCAGCAGAGGAACGAACTCCAACATGGTTCTTTTGGACAGCACCACTGCAGCCGTCACAGTGGAATCAGGAAAATATGTTCACTAGCAGTATTATTAGAACAAAGTGTTTACTACACAAATCAGACCTTATATGAATACAATCTAGAAAAGATATAAGTCTAAGCATCAAAAGATACTCCAACCATTAAAATGCAAATTTAGTTACCTAGTGGATACACCGAAGATCAGAGTAAAGTCCAAATGATGATGGATCTTGGGTGTGAAATTTATGAAGATATGTATGAAAGTCTACACCTCTGAAAAAATGGAAGTCGGGCAGCTGATTGTGGTTTTGAGGATACTTTTGATTGGCAGAACAAGGAATCAAGAAAGCAGGTTGGAAGCAGGTGTCTTCCAAACTCCTGTGCATCTGCCTCCCTCCTTCTGTGGTGGCTCCAAAGCTAGACTAATGTCTCCTGTACCTCTGCATTTCAAAGCTCACACAAGGCTATAGGTGAGTTTCTAACATGGAACCGTGGAAGATTCTAGGTGTCACATTACCCAGGTGACAAAACACAATTTAGAAGAATTCTCCATTTTATTGTCTAATAGCAGGTCTGTCTTAACCCAAAGTCTACTATTCAAATCCTAATCTGAAACAATGATAAAGGATAAAAGGCAAAAAATGTAAATACAGTTGACCCTTGAACACTGGGAGTTCAAAGTGGGTAGGTCCACTTATTCATGTATTTTTTTTTCAATTGATAGCCGTTCAAACAACCCACACAGTCCAAAAGTCAACTCCAGGGTTGGGAATCTGTGTATGTTATATTTGGACTTTCAACTGTGTGGGAGGTCAGTGCCCCTAATCTTTGCATTGTTCAAGGGCCAACTGTCACTCATATGAGACTATACCCTATGATAAGCTCTGCATTCTTTCTTAGTAAAAAAAAATGGGATGAGAGTTTTCTGGCCAATACAAAAAAGATTTTTCTCATAGAAAAAAAAAAAGATAGAATACGTAATTGGTAAAAGACATCCAGTATCTGGCACGGGAGGCCTGTAGGAAAATCCCAACAAATACCCAAATATCATTTATCAGTATGCCCCTTAAAAAACAATCGAAACATAAAAAATGAAACCTACCTGCATATTAGAAATACACGATTCACCTATAGATCAAACAAGCTCCAAAATGGAAAGAGAAAAATACTATTAACTGATTTAAGGAAAAAGACCTATTAATCTTTGTAGTATTGTGTAGAGCATTATCTCAGTATTCACTTTTGGAATGAAGTAGGTAATATACACAGTTCAGAGATCCACCTTAAGAATGAGGCACTAAAAAAGACAATATATAACTTATAATGATTCATAGTATAGTTTTCTAGAACATTATACATGGATGAATTTGTATCAGGCTTTCTCATATTTTTATTCTTAGGACTGAATTCCAGTGGGAGTTTTCATACATAAGGATGAAGGCCAACTGATGTCTTTTCCACACCGCTTACAGTCAGGAGGCTTTTATTCAGTATGAGATCTTTTATGCCTTCTAAAAGAATTATGACGACTGAAAGCTTTCCCACAGTCTTTACATTTGTATGGTTTCTCGCCAGTGTGCATTCTCACGTGTCCTCGAAAGGTAGTGCGATAAATGAAGGCTCTTCCACATTCTTTACATTCATAGGGTTTCTCTCCTGTATGAGTTTTTTCATGTGTTCGAAAAGATGTATAACAACTGAAAGATCTACCACACTGTTTACATTTATATGGCTTCTCTCCAGTGTGAGTTCTTTCATGTATTCGAAATGAACTGGGAAAATTGAATGCTTTCCCACATTCCTTACATTTATAACGTCCATCTCCAGTATGCATTATCATGTGTGTTCGAACACTTGAGGGAGAAATGAAGGCTTTTCCACATTCTTTACATTTATAGGGTTTCTCTCCAGTGTGCTTTCTCATGTGTCCTTGAAAGGTTGTACGATAAATAAAGGCTTTCCCACATTCCATACATTCATAAGGCTTCTCTCCAGTGTGAGTTCTCTCATGTATTCGAAAGGAACTGGGCCAACTGAAGGTTTTACCACACTGTTTACATTCATATGGCTTCTCTCCAGTGTGAGTTCTTTCATGTGATCGAAAAGAACTGGGACAAATGAATGCTTTCCCACATTGCTTACATTTATACGGTCCATCTCCTGTATGCATTATCATGTGTGTTCGAATGCTTGAGAGAGAAATGAAGGCTTTACCACATTCCTTACATTCATAGGGTTTCTCCCCAGTGTGAATTCTTTCATGTATTCGTAAACCTAGGGGAGAACTGAAGGTTTTTTCACACTGTTTACATTCATATTGTTTCTCAGCAGTGTGAGTCCTTTCATGTCTTCGAAAGGAACTGGGACAACTGAGGGCTTTACCACATTGCTTACATTCATAGGGTTTTTCTCCAGTGTGATTTCTTTCATGTATTTGTAAACCTAGAGGAGATCTGAGGGATTTACCACACTGTTTACATTCATAGGGTTTCTCTCCAGTGTGAGTTCTTTCATGCGCTCGAAATGAAGTGGAACAGCTAAAAGCTTTCCCACATTCCTTACATTTGTAAGGAGCATCTCCAGTATGAGCTATCATGTGTCTTCGAAAGGTTGTGAGCCATGTGAAGGCTTTCCCACATTCCTTACATTCATAGGGTTTCTCTCCAGTGTGAGTTCTTTCATGTCTGTGAACAGATTTTCGGTAACTGAAGGCTTTCCCACATTCCTTACATTTATATGGCTTCTCTTCACATTCATGATATTCATATGGTTTGTGTCCAGTGTGAGATCTGATGTGCCTATTAAGGGATGAATGACGCACAAAAACTTTTCCACATATACTACATTTACAGGGTTTTGCTCCAGAAGAAGTTTTCTTGTTCAGATTAAGATCTGGAATCTGGCTGATGGGTTCTCCACACTGACTACCTTCTTTGCTTTCATGAAGTTTTTCTACCATATGACTTCTGTAAAAAATGAGAAACATGTTATTAATGATTTGTTAATATCAAGTTTACTAGCAGTGTATTTGAATTACTTTTTTATAATTTACAACAAAAGTGAAGGTTTTCTGTCTTTTCTGAATTGTATGAAAGTGAATATACTGAATGTTCCATAAGAAGACTTGATAATAGCTATCATGAAAACAGTAATATTAATATTTGGGTTAAGGATAAGTAAATTTAAAGAAGGGGTTGTTTTACTTGCTTGTTTTAAAAAAATTCAGGATGGACTGGAATTCTCATGTGGAATGATGCTATTGTGTGACTCACCTTAGTTTTTTCCCATGGGTTTTGTACCTATCTTCAATGTTATGATCTTCCCATTTTTTCCCTAAATTCAGACCTAGAAAAATAATTCCAAATTATCAGAAAGTACAGAAAAATTATAAGATTCTTGATCCATGATGAGCTGTGACCATGCAAAGTTTATTTACTAATGTATTCCTTTTCCACATTCCACATCTTGAAACAACATTGATACTTGTTTTCTAATTCAAAGTAAGAATATTGTTATCCTTACCTATCGAGGCCAGGTTCCTGAAGGTTTCCCGCATCACAGCTCTATAGAGTTTCTTCTGTGAAGGATCCAGTAAAGCCCACTCCTCCGAAGTGAAGTTCACAGCCACATCCTCAAAGGTCACTGAGTCCTAAAACATTGCAAATATGTATACAGTAGGATGCACGAGTCTGATAGTGCTGGAGAATAATACACAATTTATAGGAAAGTTACATATGATTCTGCAGTCTCTGATCATTTATTTTATGTCTTGATCATCAGAAGCTTACTCTGTCCACACTTCTTTATAAATTTAACAGCAACATGAATACATGCAAAGTATTCATTCATTTTTACCATGATCGCTTTAAATATTATTGCTCTCTAATAGAGCCTACAGTACTTTGAAGAAACAAGAGAAATGCTACAAATAAAAACCAACATTATTTTAATTACATCAATTCCTTGTGAGAAAAACTCTCTCATCTCCATCCTTATTACCTACCATTTAACTCAGCACTCCATGATGTACAGGGTCAAATCTACATGAAGTTTTAATGAATAAAAACACAGTGAAAAACAGGAAGCTTTTTCTTCTATTCTTATCATCAAACATGAGAGTCTAGGTGACCTGTGGAAAGCAAACCTGTAACAAGGATCAGCTTGCCAGATTGGCCTAAATTACTGTAGGCCATTTGAAGTAGCCAGATCCAGATGAGTAAATGAAAGTTTTCTTGTGAAGTAGTAGTACTTTTAACTTCTGTAATATTTATCACACTCAGTCTTCCCATTCTCTCTGTCCCACTTAATGGGACTAGAAAGTTCTTCAGAAGCTAGTGATCAGACAACTCAGCATAATGTGGCATGCTAATAAGGCATGATAACTTAGACCTCCAACAAAAATCCTATACATATGAGCCTCAAAGGTGCTTCTCATCAGTTTTTAACACACAAGGCACACGTACAGAGATAAGGTAACAGAAGAGCTCTTCTGTCAAACCCTACCAATATACCTTGGCCCTTGCCGATGTGAAGGAACACACATTGGAGCTGCATATTGCAAAAGAGTTCACTGGAGTCCACAATGGTCTGATGGACTGCTCATTATAAAATACATAAAGGGTTCTGCAGTGCTTCCCTCCAAAAGAACATAAAAGCTCCATTTTCTAATTTTAGGAGGATGTTTCCTGACCAGATGCTCTAGAGGCAGCCCTCCCAACCTCTCATTTTTGAGCTCCCCTATGGTGCACAGAAGCATAACATTCCATCCCTAGATTGATGCCACTGTACACTGTCAAGAGGATATGAGTTTATTACTTCCATAAATGAGGTCTCTGGGGAGTAAGGCAGTTTTCTCACAGCATAAAATGATTTGAAAGAGCAAGGAAAAGCACGTGGACTTTTTTTTTTTTTTGAGGTTGTGGGTGGACTAAATGAGTTCACTCACAGGGCAGCAGCTTGCATGGATTCACTCTCCTGCCACTCCCAAAGGAGAAAGCATAAAGGCTTTCTTATCACCATGCACAGATGTGTGGCACAAGAAGGAGGAGGAGAAGAAATGAGGCTTCAAGCTGTCAGCAATCAGTCATCAAACTGGAGTCAGAGACTTTTTTTTTTGGTCTGTCATATAGTGAACTTAGAAGACATTGTTCCCAACCTCACAAGAGAAAAGCAAAAGAACTTAAAATGAATAACCCTTCTTATGTCTATCAAAGAACTTTGAACATATGAAAACCAAAATTGGAGAAACAGTAAAGAAGCTATTTAGAAATATGACCAGAACAGTCTACTCTTAACAAAGCTTGTCCTCAAAATAATCTATTTCACCAGAACCAAATGCAAAGACAAAAAAACACAATATCCAAGAACTTTAGGACAATTCTTATTGTAAAATGACAGGTGTAAAATACACATAATGGGAATACTTGATAGAAAAAAAGGGCAAAAGAGAACAGAAAAAAGTAAGGGAAGCAATAATCGCTGAGATTTTCCTAACAGTAACAGACAGCAAACTGCAGATCCAGGAAGCTAAGAAAACACAAACAGTAAGGGGAGGAGCGGTTAGCTGCCAAGCAGCCCAAGTTCACAAAGGCTCTCAGAGTCCCGCAGCCTGTAGGCACCGGCACTCGCCCGCCCTGCTGCCACGATGCCCAAGAGGAAGGTCAGCTCCACCGAGGGGGCGGTGAAGGAGGAGCCTAAGAGGAGGTCAGCGAGGCTGTCAGCTAAATCTGCTCCTGCAAAAGTGGAAATATATGATTTTTTATTTTTAGATTCCACATATACATGCAATCATATGGCAACTGTCTTCCTCTGACTTATCCACTCAGCAGATTACCCTGCAATATCTTTTCCCACCCCATTTAGTCTATGTGCTTTTAACCTGAAGTGAGTCTCTTGTAGGCAGCATATGTAAGGGTCTTGTTTTCTTATCCATTCAGCCACCCTCTCTATTGACTGGAGTACTTAATTCTTTTTCATTTAAAGTACTTCTTGACACACATATAGTTATTGTCATTCTTTATTCAATTTTTTTCTTCATGTTTTTTCTTCTTCTTAAAAGAAGTCCCTCCAATATTTCATCATGCTTGGTGATGATGAACTCCTTTACCTTTTTCTTGTCTGGGAAGCACTTTATCTATCCTTTGACTCTAAATGATAGCTGGCTAAAGTAATCCTGGTTGTATATCCAAGGTTTTCATCACTTTGAATATTTTGTGCTAAGCCCTTCTGTTCTGCAAAGTTTCTTTTGAGAAATCAGCTGCCAATCTTATGGGTGCTCCCTTGTAGGGAACTGCTTTTCTCTTACTGCTTTTAAGATTCTTTGATTTAACCTTTGGCATTTTAATTATGATATGTCTTGTTGTGAGCCTCTTTGGGTTCATCTTTGTTGGGACTTTCTGAGCTTGCTGTTTATTTCCTTCACCAGGGCAATTTTCCATCATTCTTTTTTCAAATAGGTTTTCAATTTCTTGCTCTTCTTCTCACTCTGGTACTCCTATGATGTGAATATTGTAACAACTGATGCTATCCCATTGGCTCTTTATATTATCTTCATTTTTTTTCTTGTTGCCGTTCTGATTGGGTGTCCTCTGCTACCCCATCCTCTATTGGTGATTCAACCTCCGCTTCCTCCACTATGTTGATTCCCTCTAACATACTCTTCATTTCATATATTGTATCGTCATTTCTGACTGGTTCCCCTTTATAATTTCCATCTCCGTTTTTAAGTTTTTTTTTATCTCTTTGTTAAAGTTCTGAGTTCATCTACTCTTCCTCTAAGTTCCTTGAACATCCTTATAACCAGTGTTTCGAACTCTGCATCTAGTATATTGTCTCCATTTTGGTGAACTTTTTGAAGCTTTGTTTTGTTCTTTCAAGTTGGACAAGTTTTATTCTCTCTCCATTTTGGCTGCCTCTCTGTGTCTGTTTCTGTGTATTAAGCAGAGATCTTAAGTCTACCAGTCTTAGTAGCATAAATTTATGTAGGTGTGCTGTGGGGCCCCTTGGCACAGACCTGAGAGGGTTCAAGCTGCAGGCCAAGTTCAGCTGCAGCCTGTGCATCTCTGGGGCCACCTGGTAAGAGTTACCAAGCAATCCACATATGGCTGCCACCCATGCTAGGTTTATAGGTGCCTTGAGGAGTCAAGTCTGAAACCAAAGGTGGCTGCCACTAGTGCGGGGTTTGAGGTTGCTCAGCAGGAGGTACAGGGCATGCTGAGGCTAGTTGTTACTTCTTTGGGTTTTGTGAGCCTTTGAGAGATCTTATTAAAGTTTGCAGCAGGAGCCAAGACAGCCCATTTGTATGGAATAAAATCACTAGAAGCTGCTTGGGTGGGCCCACATGTTAGGAGAGGGGGCGTCTCAGGGAATCCCCTGGGCAGTGACCTGCGTTATCCAGGGTGATGGCGCCAGAGTCTACTGAATAGGAGGGGGGAGGGCTCAACGAAGGAACAATGGCTTCTGCTTGTACCTCCGTCCAGGAGCAAACTGCTCCTCCAGCCCTTGCCTTGAAGCCTGACAGCTCGGCACCTCCCTGTTGTCCCTGGTGCCCCTCAAGCAGCTGCCCCAGCATGGAGCTCAGGATGAGTGAGTCTGTCAGCGAGTAGGGCCAGATGCGGGCCCTTTAAGAGAAAGGTCTCCGTTTCACTCAGCCGCAACCTCTGCTGGTTTTCCCTGCCAGAGTTTGTGGGGACTTCTCTTTCTGGAGCTGGGACCCTAGGCTGGGGAGCCCAGTGTGTGACCGGGACTCCTCACTCCTCAGGTGGGGGAGGTGGCTCTATAGCCAAGAGAGCCCCCGTGATTCTTGATTGCCACTCGCGGTTGTGGGACTGGGCCATTTCTCACATATCTACTCCTCCTATCATTTTGAGGTGACCTGTTATTTGAGGTGAGGTGACCTAGTTGTAGGGCTTCTGTTCAGCCAGACCTCTGGTGATTCTGTGTACTGGTTGCTCTGTAATTTTGTTATAATTTTGGTATTTGCTAGAGGAGACATGTACAGCCTTTACCTTCTGTGGCATCTTAAATCTCCTGGAAATCTGTGATTTAAGTGACAATTCAAAAGTGCAGGTCTCCAAAAACTCAGTCAGATACAAGAAAACTCAGAAAGGTAGCTTAATAAACTGGAAAGTAAAACTATAATAAAGAACCAAACAGAAATACTGCAACTGAAGAACTCAATAAAAAAATCTGCAGCATAAACTAGGGAGCTTAGGAAATAGAATTGACCAGATAGAGGAAAGAATTGTGATACTGAAAAGAGAAACCCAGAAATGCCTCAGATGGGGCAAAAAAAAAAAAAAAAGAATTGAGAGTAACTCAATTGAGAGATCTGACTCCATCGGAAAAATCAATGCAAAAATAATGGGTATCCCAGAAGGAGAAGAGAGAAAAAGGGAATAGAGAACTTTTTCAGTCGATGAGAACTTCTGAAATCTATGGAAAAAAACTAGCTCTTCGAATCAAAGAAGCTAACGGAATATCTAATTATCTCAATCCAAAATGGCTTCCAATGCACATTATATTAAAATTGTCAAAAATTAATGATAACCAATTCTCAAGGCAGCCACAGAAAAAAAAAATGGTAACCTATAAAGGAAATCCCATTAGATTATCATTGGATTTTTAAGCAGAAACCCTACAAACTACAAG